GTACAATTTTCGAGAGTATTATACAACTTTTATTGAATTTTGCATCTTATAATATTATATTCTCAAAATAAATATATCACGTGCCTCGCACAGGTCACGTACTACATATATCCCTTACATTTTTCTTTATTCATGTGTATAATTATAAGGCTGGATAAATAGCTTTAAAATTGTGCACCTCGTGCACGCACGAGCTCTAGACTAGTATTGATTAGTATGTAGTGTAAATTCCTCTTTTTATTACTCACTTTAACTCAAAATCTAACCCAACTCCATTATACTCAATACTATCAATGTAGCGCCCCATTCGTTTTAGACGAGTTAGCGTATTCTATGTTTTTGCCTCGCTTTTATTTTAGGCGTTTTGCTCGACAAATCCTCGTTTGAGTTTCTGACGATTAATTGGAAGTAATCGTCTTGTTAATTTATTATGTCGAATAAATTTTTCTGGATGTAATCGTCTACTTAAATTATTTTCAATATTTATGCATTCATTATTCGAATTGTACGTCTTCGTTATTTGATTCATAATTCGCTCGCCGAATCGTTGGAAAATTCTTTATTCAATCGTATAGTGTTATTTTCGAGTCGTCTTTGATCTTTTCTTGAACCGTGGACTTGGACCATTTTTGGCACAATATATCCGGACCTTGGAGGTCATTTTTCAGCCCATAGTGATGCCATAAGCTCTTTTAGATGTGCTGTTAAAGCTTGACTTTCAGATATGAACAATATTAATTTGATCTGACAATCGTGTTTTAGTCAAAGTATTTATGTTTATAGTTTATTTATTTATGCAATCATGACCCCATCATTTTACATTGTAGAAATATGGTCCGTTGTGTCGAACAGAAAGATCATATTATCAGTTTATTGTAAAATATAAATTAACTATTCATAGTTTAGACATGCAATGAGACCCTTGTTGAAAAAAGATTGTAGTGTAGTCTTGATTCAATTGGTCGTTAACTGATGGATTACACTAGTACTTATGGTAAGTATTGTACGGGTCGCGGAAGAATAAGGTTACAAGATTTACTGATCGTGGTTATAATCTAGACTTTCGGTAATTGATGCGTACTCTTAAACTGTAAGATAATATAAAATGGGCATATATATATATATATAGAGAGAGAGAAGGGATCATATGAGAATGTTAGATAATGAAAGAAATGAGAATGATCATGGATCATTAGATCAATTATATCAATGGTGATGATGAAGTCAAAATTAAATTATAACTGGTCAAACCTAGTGGCAAAATTGTAAATATATTAATATCTCATGGGCAAATAAAAGTCTTAGAGGGTAGTGATGTAATTTCACAAAATAATAAATTAAGTGGGTCCCACCCATAATTCTCCAACAATAAATCTCTTCCCTCTCCTTTCTCCTCTCTCGTCTCTCTCCATTCCTACCGATCTGTCTTCTCTCCCTGACGCCACCGGCAGCTCACCACAGGCCGGCCACAATTCGCTGATTCCGGCACGCCAACGCCACCGTAACGAGCCCGCCGTCATTTCTCCGCCGTCGTCAGACCCGCTGCCGCCACCAATCACCGAGTCCGATAACTCGCCCAGATCTCAAGGAGAAGGGGCTCACGTCGACGGCCACCACAATCGCCGCCGTCGATGACCTCCACATCACCTCATCCTTTCAACCACCATTCCGTCGTTTCGCCTCATTCGCCCGGCCACAGCAACCTCGCCTCGTCTTTGCCATCCACCTTCTCTGTAGAGAAGATTTGTGTGTTGCAGACGAGTTGCAGAAGAAGATGAGTCGGGAATAGTAGAGAGACGGGGACGACGACCTGAACGGGACGAGCTCGTTGGAGATCTGAACAGGAGATGGGAGGCGGCGGCCGGAAACGCCTTGGGGGCTGAGGAATTGCATCGTGATTCTGATTGATTTTGATTTAGAGTGAATTAGACTTGAATGATTCTGATTATGTGAACCATTTTATGTGAATTTCATTCTGTTTCTGTGAACAATTTTGGGTGAATTGTAGGTGAATTCTCATTATGATTATGAGATCAATTTTCGGTGAATTGGCAGGGTGAAGCTGGTTGATTTTTGTGAGATTAGGGGTTAGTTTTAATGTAAATTAGGTTAATGTTAGGGACTTTTTGTAATTTTTGTAAAACTTTAATTGTAACATCAATTAATTAGTGATATAAATATTAATACTAAATTATTAAGAATATAATAATTACAAAGATAGTATTAGTAATTTTTAGAACCTAAAAAAATGAAATCATATCGAAATACTCGACATATAAAATAATAATAATAATAATAATAATAATAATAATAATAATAATAATAATAATAATAATAATAATAGAACAAACATATAAAAAATCATCGAATTTATGTTCGTTTGATGTCGTTCGTCTTTGTGCAATGTGATAGACAATCGTGTGCAATCTGTATAATCCTAATGTGCAATCTCAGTACATAAAATATATATATATATATATAGATGAAAAATAGTATTAATTTTAATATAAAAACATAAATAAATAAACAATCGTTAATATTTTTCCGTATATTTCGACGTGTGCGGTTATTTTGTTTATTAAGAAAAATAATTCTGACATTAACCAACTAATATTATTCGATCGATTATTAGAATTATTGTAATTTTGATACGTGCGACGTGTTGTGTTATAAGGTGCAACATATTGTTGTATAAAGTGCAATTTATTGATATATAAAGTGGAGATATTGATAACCTAGTATGTTATCACGGATGTGTTTATTTATTTATTTACTTATTTATTTTGATATGTAATGTGATGGATAGTAAAGTATTATGTCGTTCCGTTTTTTTATATTCATCTTGCGTAATATTTTGGCATGATTTGTTGACATTAATTGTGGAGTGTGTTTATAAAGTGCAACGTGTTGTTTTATAAAGTGCAATGTTTATTAATAAATTGCATTAATTTATAGTTTATCATATATATCCGAAAACTAGTTTTAATATATATAATTTACATCTAGTTAATATAAAGTGGAACTCGATCATATATAAAGTGCACTAATTTATATGATCACTAATAAATTATGTGTTTTTTAAATCTAGAATACTAGATATAATTGTACATAGAATTAGCCTAAATAATTTAAATAAATTATTATTTATAATAATAAAATTATATTTATTATTTTAATAGTTTTATAAAGTGCAATGTGCTGTTTTATAAAGTGCGATATGTTGTTTTATAAAGTGCGACATTTCGTTATATAAAGTGCAGTGATTTATACCTTTCCTAGATAAATTATGTGGATTCGAAACTCTTTTTAATAGATATAATTGTACATCAAATTAAGCTAACTAATTAAAATATTTTTTTATTTATTACATACTTTATTTATTATGATAAAATATTTTTATATAATTTTATTATTCTATATTATTTTTATCCAATATTTTATTTATATATTATGCTATATGAATTTAATATTTTATATTATTTTTATTTATTATTTTAATATATATATGTATTAAAAACATACCAACATGTTATCTAATCACGTATTGCAACGTGAATAGTAATGTGTTGTATAAAGTTTTTAAAAATTACAATTTTGGCCCAGGGATTAAATTGATATTTATCAAACTTTTGATATTGCAATTAAGTC